GGAAGGATGGAAGGCTGAGTCAACCTTGAGCCGGTGAGATTTGAACAGCCGAACTGCAGAACTAGCAGTCAGCTGAGTAGCCTGCAGTGCTGCATTTAACCACTGCGCCACCTTGGCTCCAACAACAATCCGGGTCCTCATTTCACCCACCTCGGAAGGATGGAAGGCTGAGTCAACCTTGAGCCGGTGAGATTTGAACAGCCGAACTGCAGAACTAGCAGTCAGCTGAGTAGCCTGCAGTGCTGCATTTAACCACTGCGCCACCTTGGCTCCAACAACAATCCGGGTCCTCATTTCACCCACCTCGGAAGGATGGAAGGCTGAGTCAACCTTGAGCCGGTGAGATTTGAACAGCCGAACTGCAGAACTAGCAGTCAGCTGAGTAGCCTGCAGTGCTGCATTTAACCACTGCGCCACCAAATCTCCACCTTCGTCTATTTTTCCTTTGTGACTGTAAATCCCAGTGAAATCATCTATCTGCATTTTATTTTCACTTCTTTTTTCCACCTTATCTTCCTGTATCTCATTTGCCCCTCTTTTTCCAGTGCCCCCCGAGGAGAGGGCCAGTCACTGGCTGATGGAGGGCGAATTCTCCTCTCGGCGGGCCAAGAAATCGTCACGGAAGAAAAAGAAGCACAGGAAGAAGAAGGGCGTTTGCCCCTCCGGGACGGCGGCCGAGACCTGTGCCCCAAATTACTTCACCACGGGAGGGCCCAGCTCCGTCCCACGCCTGCCCCGGCTCCCACAAACCAAGTGTTTTGTCGCCGACCCACAGCAGAGCCAGGCTCTGGATGATGTCCTTTTGTCTCGAGCAGACCCCGAATGGAGACCCCGAGCTCCTCGGCAGTGGGAGGCCCCCCTGGCTGGACTGTCCCGGGACTGTCCCCCCGGCAGCTGCCGGCGCAACAAGCCCCTGGATCTCATCAACCACCCCTTTTGCCCCGATCTCGGGGGTCCCGAGGAAACGGGACCGGAACATGGAGCGTGGCTGTTTCCCAGACCGCAGCCGTCGTGTTTTCGGGGGGCCTCCTTCCCTGCTCCCCCCAGGAGCTCGGCTGCTTTGTTCCTGGGTGGTGACGTCTATGGGGTACAGCCACCTCTGGGCAGGAGGGGTGGGTTGCCCCCCATCCATTCCCGGACAAATTTGATGGACGCTGAGTTGGTGGACCTGGACTCTGACTTCTAACGGGGGGGGGCTTCCAATGACTTGGCTTGGTGGTTGATCAGCCATAGAGGGGATTGGTAGAAAGAGTGGGAAGGGGCTGCCTCTTCATGACCGTCTTTGGGGTGCTGCCCCATCACGTTGAAGGAGATCGAGAGAGGTCATTGGGAGGGGCTGTCCTTGGGCACCCTCTGAAGACCATCCTTCCTTCCCCTCCCACCTCTCCATCTTGTGGACCTCTTCAAAAAGACCCTGGATGGGATTGTCCTCCTCGTTTTGGTATGAGGAGAACCTCAAGAAACTTTCTAACGTCCGGAATGAGGAAGAGACTGCATCACTATCTGCAGAAGGTCCCCCCCCCTTCCGCACTGATAATGCTACCTAGTTGGGTCATGAAACGTTTGCAAGAAAAAACAACCAAACTCAGAGAGCACCAAGGACCCCCCCACCCACAACTCTCCCTCCCTCCCCTCCTTCCTTCCATCTCCCTTCCTTCCTTCTTTTCATCTCCCTCCCTTCCTTTCTTCTCCCTCCCCTCCTTCCTTCTGTCTATCTCTTACCCCTCCTTCCTTCCTTCTTTCCCTCCCTCCCTCCTCTCCCCTCCTTTCCTCCCACCCTCCCTTTCTCCTTCCTTCCTTCCATCTCCCTACCTCCCTTCTTTCCTCCCTTCCTTTCTTCCTTCTCCCTCCCCTCCTTCCTTCCTTCCATCTCTGTCCCCTCCGTCCTTCCTTCTTTCCCTCCCTCCTCTCCCCTCCTTCCTTCCCTCCCTCCCTCCCTTCCTCCCATCTCCCTCCCTCCCCTCCTTCCTTCCATCTCTGTCCCCTCCTTCCTTCTTTACCTCCCTCCTCTCCCCTCCCTCCCTTTCTCCCTCCTTCCTTCCTTCCATCTCCCTCCTTCCCTTCTTTCCTTCCTTCCTTTCTTCCTTCTTCCTCCCCTCCTTCCTTCCTTCCATCTCTGTCCCCTCCGTCCTTCCTTCTTTCCCTCCCTCCCCTCCTTCCTTCCCTCCCTCCCTTCCATCTCTCTCCCTCCCCAACTTCCTTCCATCTCTGTCCCCTCCTTCCTCCTTTCCCTCCCTCCTCTCCCCTCCTTCCCTCCCTCCCTTTCTCCCTCCTTCCTTCCATCTCCCTCCTTCCCTTCCTTCCTTCTTCCTCCCCTCCTTCCATCTCTGTCCTCTCCTTCCTTCCTTCTTTCCCTCTCTCCTCTCCTTCCCTCCCTCCCTTTCTCCTTCCTTCCTTCCATCTCCCTACCTTCCTTTCTCTCTCTCCTTCCTTTCTTCCTTCCATCCATCTTTCTCCCTCCCTTCCTTTCTCTCTCCTTCCTTCCCTCCCTCCCTCCCTTTATTCCTGATGATGTTTCCTAGTTGGGTCATGAAATGTCTGCAAGAAAACAGCCAGGCTTCTTCTGATCCCCTTCCTCCCTCCCAACCATTGCCAAACAAAAACTGTCATAAACTCGGGGCAGTCACATGATGACCTGCCTAGCAAGCAACACAACGAATGACTAATTCCAGACACAATTATGGTCGCAATTTGAGGACTACCCTGTCTACTGTACTGAAATATGCTTTGGGCATCTACCGTGCCTGTCGCAATTCTGAGCAGGAAGTAGGGGGTGAAGGTTTATTTCAGAAAAAGGCAGATTTCTTGGGAGAAGACCCGGAGGAGATGAAGGACGTTCTAGGAAGTTGATTTGGGTGTCTTCTCAAGAGAACCAGGGCTGACGATGTTTCAGAACCGAGTTTGAAGGTCATGAATGCGATGGACCACCAGATGTTAGGTCCGCGTTCCCCCAACCCTGGCCCCTTTAAGGTGGGTGGACTTCAACTCCCAGAATTCCCCAGCCAGTGATGGAACTTGTAATGTTCACCTTCAACCTCTCCGTGGTGGGACCAGATGGAGATGGGAATTGGAATATGGAGAGGCTGTGTTGAATGGAAGAGTTGGAAGTCCACCCATCTTCAAAGTGGCCAAGGTTGAGGGACGCCATGTCCGCCATCTGGATGTTCCCTGGTAGCCCGCCATACCCTTGATCTTCAAACTCAGTCTTGTGTCCACCATCTCTTCCTGATGGACCTTGAGATCCAACCTTAACATATCCCCATCTCTGGTTCAAAGCTCCTCGTAGAATTCTGTAGGGCGGTTGGAATCTTCTCCATAACTTCTCAAGTCTTCATGAGGTCAACTCTACAGCTAGGTAGAAGAACCATTTTCTGAGGTCACCTTGAACTCCGCCTGAAAGCCTTAAACCTCTGGAGAACCCACACCCCGTGCTGCGCCTCTACCTCCCCATGCAGCTTGATGGGACTTGTAGTCTTCATTTTCATCCTCTCCCTGGTAGGACCAGGTGGCGATAGGAATTACAACATGGAGTAAGCATACAGGTGGGTTGAATGGAAGGAGGCGGTAGCAACATGTTAAAATATTTCCAGGTTTGTTACTCTTCTTTTAATATACCTATATATAACGCACAGTTTTCGTCTTAATTTTTCATGGTGGCTAAATCTAAACATTTTATCATCTCTGATGAGAAATTTCTTAGGGTTTGCAATGTGGATAACTTTGGGAATCTTGGCACAATCTCGGGGCTGGATTTAAACCCACCTAGGCTTCCTGAGACGATGAAAAGCACACGCTTAGTCCCCAAAACCCTATTTTTATTTCAACAGCTGTGAATTAGGGTCATTCACAGTGCGTGATGTTTGTGAAGAGTCTGTCCGAAGTCTGCCACAGTCTTTCAGGGGAAGGCTGATAAGCACCAGTGGTGGGTTGCAGGCGGTACGTCCCGGGATGGGTGTACCGGAGCCCGGTACCATTCTGGTATGGTGCTCCGGAGGGCCCACTTAGCAATAACAATAGCAGTTAGACTTATATACCGCTTCATAGGACTTTCAGCCCTCTGTAAGCGGTTACAGAGTCAGCATATCGCCCCCACAGTCTGGGTCCTCATTTCACCCACCTCAGAAGGATGGAAGGCTGAGTCAACCTTGAGCCGGTGAGATTTGAACCGCCGAACTGCAGATAGCAGTCAGCTGAAGTGGCCTGCAGTGCTGCACTCTAACCACTGTGCCACCTCGGCTCTAAGATGCTAAGATCTCAGTCCTGAAGGAAAAAAAGAAAGAAAAAAAGAAAGAAAAAAGAAAGAAAAAAAGAAAGAAAAAATGAGAGAGATGAAAGAAAATAAAGAAAACCGGGACAGAGAGACAAAAGGAAGGAAAGAAAGAGAGAGAAAAAACACTTGGCCAGCAAGCCACTCCCACCAGGTCACATGGCCGGCAAGCCACTCCCAC